ATACCAGCCCGGTTTGAACATTCTAGGTTTTGTTTTTAACAATCAAATGTTTAAATAATAAAAATTATTAAACTTTTATTACGTGGTATTTTGCATCTAACTAATACAAAACGAGATCCGAAAATTATTTTGCTCTACCTTGTACCTTCTCGAAATATTCAGTTTGTTAACTTTCACTCTTTATCATAAATCGCAGAGTAGCCGATTGAAGGTACCTGCAAAATTAGTTTTAAGCTATCTTTTCTGGTTCTCGAGATATCCGCGATTTGCGAAAGGGACTATATATCGTTAAATGTAGAATATTAAAATAAGTCAAATGCGTATATTCATCATTCATAAGCTTTATTGTAAAACCGCGTTTTCGGAAACTTTCCAAACACCGAATTAACGTAGGTTTTATGACGCGAAGTATTATTATATCTTTCTCTCTCCAACTCATACTTTTTGCCTTCTATCTTTTTCTTCTTTCAACGCCCTCGTATATGTACGCCATCTCGTAGCAAGCATACGAGATGCACAAAATTTGGGACGACGAATTCTGAACGAAATAAAATCACACACACATTTTAGTTATCTCTTATTATCTCCGTTCAGAAACCACAAACCGAAAAAACGCAAGAATACTTTTTTCTTCATTTTTTTAACGCGAATCAAACGAGTCCAAAAAGAAGTCGATTGATTCAGTCGTTATTAAAACATTGCTGTTTAAATATCTCCCCTCCACTAAAATTTCTCATTTTCGCGTATATAAGGCACAGTGTGCTCGCGCAGTCCGAGCGCCACTTCGTTGCGCGTGAACTTGGCGCGAGGCACTACCGTGCCTCTTGATACTTGTATTGCAACTAGATTTCCCAGTAATCCAGTTCTGAGAGAGAAGTGGATCGAAGCAATAGCCACCCAGAACAGACAAGAAAGCGTACGAAATATACCGAAATATAGCCGTATTTGCATATTGCACTTCACAAGTGATTGCGTCGAAAGCATTGGTTATTCGCAAGTACGATTGAAACCAAATGCGGTGCCGTCTATTTTTCCACGTGCTCAAAATCAGAGGTAATTTAATTCTTGTTAATATAATTTATACTAACTTATGTCCGCGCGAGCTTGTATTAACCAATATGTAAGTGTTGAGAAGCTTCATTGCAACGTTATAATGTGGAACAGAAAAATAGAAAGTTTAATGTAGCTTAATTATTTGTAAGTAGTGATAATTTGTAAATATGTTACATTTATTAATAAACATGTACAATTCCAAACAGCTTGATGCAGTTATCAGCTTTGAGTGAGGACTTGTCAAATGCAAATGTTATTGATCATTGCATTCCACAGTTGACGAAGCATCGCAAAGTGGAACATTGTATGACTGCAGAATCAAATGGTCAACTATTAAACACAGAGATGATTGCTGGCCAATCGATTGCAGTCGACGAAGCATCAATGCATTCCGAGTCTATGAATGATTCACAGACAAGGTAAAAGAATTCATTAAAATAAAACTGTATAACTTCAATATACTTCTCTTATCGTTCTTCTTACTATTTGTTCGTACGTGGACCTTGAAATGAATAACTATTTTGTTTGCAGTTCAATAACTGAAAAGCAAGCAGAGACAGAAAGCAGTACATTTTTATCATGTAATGTATTGAGCACTCGAAAAAGAATTTATAGATATCCTGGAGATATTAAAGATGAGCTTATAGATCAAATGACCTCAGCAAGTAAAAGTCAATGCATTCGATTATTACAATCGGTTTGTAAAGCAAAAGACAAAAAGATAAAAACATTAATGCTTAAAAAATTGCGTCATACAAAGAAAATAGTAAACTTGGTAAAACTGTTACGTGAATTGCGACAAAAATGTGATCTTTCAGAAAATGCTTCGGAAATTATAGAGGTATAAACAACNCAGCAAACACAAAGTAACAGTAACGTAACATTAATGTTATAATTTCCCACTCAACGATATAACTGCAATGTAACATATCTTGTACGTAGCAGTTACATTGTTGAGTAGGAAATTATAACATTAATGTTAAGTAACTGTTACTTTGTGTTTGCTGNGAAATAGTGTAATAATAATAATAAAAAAGAGTAAATAACGAATTTTAAGATATAATAATCGAATTAGTTATTACTGTATATCTGTATATTATACTGTATATAATAATCAGATAATTTTGAAGACATATGTATGTCAGTAATTGTGTATAGTGCTTAATTAATAAAGGAAATTGTATTAATAAAACACTGTCCACTGGTTATATCTTTCCTGTTTATAACGCTTTTCTGTTTATAATATTCACTTAGGCAACAACACAGGAAGACAAGATATTAGCAGAACTGCAGAAAAGAAAAATCAATAGACAATATTCGCAGGAACTTCGTACCTTCGCCTTAACAGTTAATTTTTATAGCTCGAAAGCATACAGGTATATAAGACACATTTTTAAGAACAATTTGCCGGCTCCATCAACAATTCGAGCTTGATACGGGAGCATAGATTGTTCGCCAGGTTTTACCAATGAAGCTATTTTAAAAAAGAAGGTGGATCAGACTACAAAGCAACTGTACGGTTGTTTAATGACGGACGAAATGTCCATACGCCAGCAAGTCGAATGGAGTAAATTCAAAAATAAGTTCATCGGATATGTTGATTGTGGATTTTCAAGTGATAAACAAGAAAATCTGACGGTAGCAAAATATGCTTTGGTGTACATGCTAACAGGCATTAACCAAAGATGGAAACTTCCGGTAGCATATTTTTTTGTAAATTCGCTAACTTCCAAGGAAAAAGCNGAAATTACGGAAAAAGTCTTGGAATTTGTTGCAACATCAGGAGTGAAAGTTATTGCCATGACTTTCGACGGAATCGCTTTAAATATTACTATGTGTAACGCCCTGAAAGCGAATGTTTATGATGGAAAACCCTTTTTCTTGCATCCAACTGACAATTATTATATTTATATAATATTGGATGCTGCTCACATGTTGAAATTAATCTGCAATGTGTTAGCTTCAAAACGCGTTTTGTATGATAGTGACGGCAATTCCATAAAATTTGAATATTTAGAGAAGCTAGTTGAGCTGCAAGAAAATGGAAATTTTCATTTAGCTAACAAACTAACTAAAAAACACATACTTTGGTTNAAGAACAAAATGAACGTAAAATTAGCCGCCCAAACGTTAAGCGAAAGCTGTGCAACTGCNTTAGAACAGTTATCAGAAGATGGCAATGCTAATTTCATTGGATGCACTGCTACTGTGAAGTTTTGCCGGATAGTGAATAGTGCTTTTGACTGCCTCAATTCGAGAAGTTTGTTCTCGTATGGTTCTAAAAGGCCATTGAAACGTGATACAGCGGTAGAAATGTTTACATTCTTTGATAAGGCAATCGATTACTTTTCTTCGCTGACATTGAAGCCTGCCGGACAATTGATAATTAAAAGTAAAAGCAAAACCGGATTTTTGGGCTTTATAATTGACTTGCAAAACTTNAGAAGATTGTACATGCAATACGTAGAAACAGGATATATGGAATACATTTTATCATACAAACTGTCACAAGATCATTTGGAAATCTTATTTTCTTGTTTTCGTGCTATGGGGGGTTTTAACAATAATCCCAATTGCAAGCAGTTTATGTCGTCATACAAACGACTATTATATCATAATGAAGTAAAATCTTTAGCGCAAGCAAATTGCATACCNCTCGACACTACCAGCATTTTAACTGTTTCATCGGCTAACAAAATTTTAGCCGATGATATTGAAGCAAACGATGATATTGAAGCAAATCAATCATATCTCGAATATGTAGATGACTACTTACCACTATATTCTATAAATCCAAATGCATATCATGTCGCGTTATACATTGCCGGTTTTGTAGAAATGCGAGTTTTACAAAAATTAACTTGCGAAACCTGCTTCATATTGTTAAACGAATGCGATGAAGCATATTCCGATTTTATTGCAAAAAAGTCTTGTGGTTCTCTGCGTTTTCCTAAATCGGATACAGTTACAATTGNTACAGTTGTCGAAAAGGTATACAATCTTTATAGAATACAAGACAATTTATAATCCACAAATGCATACAATAAAATGATTATCACTGTTTTGCGACAGTTACATCTTAATACTATTTTTAAAAATTTTGACTATCATGTTCAAGATCTTGATTTTCTCGAAAATCATAAATATGAACTGATTAAATTAATTATTAAATTATATTTAGATATTAAATTGTTTTATCACGGAAAAACTGTTACTCTACGCTTGCATGATAGTTTTGTTCGTCATACTAATACTAAATTGACTCTTTTTAAAGGCCAGTAATATGTTAGTTTATGTTATTCCTTATTATTTTTTTTTATACGCAGATACTATGCTTACAAATTCTTTATATGTTAATGGTATTACAAATTATTTATATATGTTAATATCTTCTTACAACAAATTATTTATATATGTTAATATTTTCTCACAACTTATTTATACACTTATAGTATATAGTATGTAAGTACTATTGTTTTATTCTGTTTGTTATATTATTGCAGACATTACATTGACTCAAANGCATTTTATTTTGTTCACCTACATCGTTTCCATTAAAAGTTCCTATATCAGACATTTAAATTAACAATTAAATAACGCTCGCAATATTAAATATAAATAAGAAACTAAGGTCCAATCGAGCCAAAATACTTAGGTGGTAGCAAAAAATATATTTAATAAAATCAGGTAACTAGTTTTACACAGACGTTTCGACTCTGACTTGAGT